AGCGCTCACGTTTAAAACCCTTCTAAGGAGACATGGGCATCCACCAGTTCTCATACAGGGGAATGTGGGATTTCATTCACAGTCACTGCTGTGAAAAAGCGATGTGGGCTGGGAGAGCACATTGATCTGGGAGAGATCAGGCAGGGTTGTTATATTATGGGCTCCCATTTGAAAGGGTAATGAGGGATGGAAGCTTGAACGGTATCTTCATGTTGACTGTCATCTTGTTCTGCTTCTGTTTCAGGATTAAATGGTTTCAGTGTGCTCTTATCTGGCAGTCAGACCCCCAGTGCTGTGGCACCATCTTCAGGTCAGCTGCCATCCCTCAGTGTCCCCTGCATTGTCCTACCGTCTCCAACGCTGGGCCCGTTTCCTGTTCTCTACTCTCCCACAATGGCCCAGCCAGCTTCCTCTGCTCCTGGCATTCTCCCAAACACGGGATCTGTGAATTTTGGCCTGCCTGGCCTTGGATCAGCAGCTCATCTTCTTATCAGCCCTGCAGCTATGGTTAATCCAAAATCATCGACACTCCCTTCCACAGACCCTCAGCTTCAGGGTTCTCGCTCACTTAGCCTGAGTCCAATGGTGTCAGAATCACACAATGTCATCCAGCCGGAATCGCCCGTTTACAGAGGACATCCAGTCTCTGTGGTGAAACAACAGGTGAATCCTAAAGTTTGATTTCATTTTGGCGCAAGAAGGCTCATCACTCTGTAACAGGAATGCTTGCATTTAATTAGCTTCAATTTTAGTCAGATGACTGTAGGACAGAGGCTCTAAGTTGGGTTCTACCCAGCTTCCACGTAGACCCAGAGTTACCTGCTTTTTTATACAGCATGGAGGCTTAAGCCAGAGATCCTAGGCTTTAAAGACAAGTATATTTTTTAGTTGTCAATCTGTTTCTTAAAATTAGAAGGAATTTTTGATGAATCCTGAATGCTCAGATTCTCCAAGCTTTCGTTTCATTAGGTCAATAAAGAAGACCACCCTGAATTTTAATTGTATAGCTGTAGAAACGATCAAGAGAAATAGAAGTCTTGATACTGATGCAAAGGTTTTTAGCATCTATCATTTCTTAAAATGCAATGTTTAAGAGGAAATAGATATATTTATACACACACACACAAAATGTATGCAAATGTGCATATACATAGATATATAATCAATATCAATTAATCAGTATTCTATTTCCCCCTAAAAAATTCCATTTGTACTTTAGTCAATAACTATTTATTGAATTGCTGTCATGCATTAGGCATCGTTCAGAGTGATTACTTTCTCTCCCAAAGAAAGAATTATGTTGTGGCCAAAAGTATTTTAGAAAGTTATTCAGACATTGAAATGAACATGTTAGTTTTACAATAAGGCAGTTACAAGATAACATATGTTTTTGATCGTCAGATAGGTGCAACACACTGATCTAGGCAGTGAGAATATAACAGTAAACAGGATAATGGTCCCTGCCCTTTTAGGTCACATTAAGGGGATAAATATTAGCAAGTAAACAAAAAGAGCCAACAACACACATATACTTACCATTTCTAGCATGCTGTAAAGTATTTTATAAATATTTTCTTGTTTAATTTTTACAATTCTGTGAAGTCAGTACTTTTATCATCCCCATTGCACGGATGAAGAAACTGAGAGACAGACTGGTTAAGTGGTTTGCCAAGGTCACACAGCTAGTTATAGCAGAGCCCGGACCCTGACTCCAGGTGCCACGCTTGTAACCTCTTTGCTAGGCTGCCTTTCTGTACACAAAATAAGTTGATTTCCAATTGTGATGTAAGTGTTGAGAAGATAAATCAGATGATTTGTATGATAGAAAAGCAAGGAGGAGGGTACACCTGCCTAGGGATTATGACACAGCTTTGGGCTTCCAGTTCAGAGACTGAAAACAATTTGACTTCCCTTCTGTTTTCATTTACTCTTTTTTTCTTTTGTAGTCACCAGCTCCAGTGACACCCACAAGCATTCAACGCACACATCGTGAGACATTCTTCAAGACACCTGGCAGCCTCGGAGACCCTGTCCTTAGGAGAAGAGAAAGCAAACAGTCTCGAAACACCAGCTCAGCACAGAGAAGACTCGAAATACCCAGCAGTGGGGCTGAGTGACCTGACACTTTGCCAGATGGGGGTGGCATCAGACCACTTGAATTTCCCTGTGTTACAGGTCATGTCCAAATGCTAAGCGGAAAGCAGAATGCAAACCATCGGTTGGTTCTTCAGCTCACATCCTTCCTCTCTTTCATCCACTCGTTCTAATGTAAACTTCCCATCATCATGAATCATCATCTATTTTCCTGAAAGTAATTGTTATTAATTGTGCATTTAATACCAGTTAGAGTCCAGACTCTGCCTGGTGTCACAGTGAAAGCACCGACTGACTTGTGGTTTTGCTTCAAGAATCATTGCTGGAAGTAGATCTGAACAGGCTACTGGTGCCTTGTGGTTTTTCTAAAGGCGGGGCCCGTCTAGCACTTAACTGGGGTGAGCGTTCTTGACATGTATTTCCACTCGCCCTGAGTAGATTTGCGGAGAGAGAAACTTCCTTTCTGTAGCTTAAAAAAACTGCTGCTTCCTTAGGCTTCGTCAGGAAGCCAGCTTCAGTTGTGAATCCTATGGTATTATTTATTTTGTTCCTGAAATGGGATTTAGTGCAAAAAGTTTACAACTATAGCAAAACATGTTTTTCAGGGTATGACGACTTGAATGTTTGTACTTTTTCCTGTAATTTGCCCTGCACTTACTTTACAACCTAGTAATAATGTGGGTAAATGTATATACATGACAGAATGTCAAGACCAAAATAACTGTGAATAACACACCTTGCTACAATGAACTGTGCTAACCCTATCAGGGCATGAGAACTAACATGAACTCTAGCAGCCTAGTAGGTGCTTCTCAAATAACTGTGGACAAAAAAAAATCCTACGATGTTCAGTTTTCTTCACTACATGCCCCTGTGGGTTTTTTTATTTAAATGTTAACGGTAGAGTATCAGGTATAGATGATGCCTTCTAATAATTACTGTTTATTGACTAAATCAGGATTTTAGAAAGGAATTATGTGGAAAATTGGAACCTGGATGGGACCTTTAGGTAGAATTCTGAAGAGTTATTGTAGAAATTGCGATAGCAAAATCGGTGATTATTTTTTCTTTTACCTTTTCTCTTTGCATTTGGAAAGGTAACGGAAAATGGACGCATTACGTTCAGTATTCAGCAGTATTCAAACCGGAGTTATTTTTCAGAGTACTTCTCAAAAATAAGAATGGTGAAGACAAAGATTTATTGTTCTAGCATGAATACAGTTCTGGAAACTGTTATGCAATACTCCTTTGTTAAACCATATTTCTTTAGGGTTTCAGTAAATAGCCACACTAGACCTTCGTATTCCTAGATTTGTTGATATTTACCTTTTGTCTCTTCAGAATAAGCGGCTTTCTCCTGTCCTTCCTTCCTTCCTTTCTTTATTCCTTTCTTTTTCTAAAACTTTCTCTTAGATCTGGAATCTTGGTATAGGGTTTTATTTTATCTTTATTTTTTGACCCAATAAAATGTTACATGGAAAAATAAAAATATTAATTTAAGAGACTCTGGGAGTCTGAGTAAAGTAGCTTTATATTAACTACAGAATAATATTAGCCTTATTACCCCTACAAGATCTTTTAAACCTTGAGGTAGGTAGCCAGGTTAAATAAATTTGCTACTATATAAAATTTTTTAGCAACACTAAACTTTAAAAGTTTACAAGATGATGTTTTTTCCCTTTTTCACAATCTTCTCTAGAGTTAAACAGATAAAAGTGTGGTTCAGTCATTAACAAGTGCACAGTACTGATTACTTTGAAGTAATATGATGGATTCCTTGTGGAAACAAACAAAAATATGCCCTTTTCAGGTAAATTACAGGACACACAGATATAAACCTGCAGAGGGTACATGCATTTTAAATGTGCCATGCTTAAGATCTTTCATAATATATTTTCGCTCGAGAGGTCTACATTTAGATGAAAACACGAACTGATTTTTTCCTCACTATCCTTAGATGCCTTTCACTTTAACTTCTTTGCTATCCTTTTTTTAAAAAATTCTATTCATGATATGACCATAAACCTCAGAAAATCCACAGTTCTTGAGGGGTATTAGGAAGCAACCCCATAAATGAGAATATTCTGATTCTGATCATACTTAGCAATAGAAAACTAGGAAAAAAACTCCTTTCGTATTCAGTACCCATTTCTTAATATGGTTGTGTGATATGTAAAAATAAAATAATGCAGTGGTTGTTTCTGTCAGGACAGTGAATCTGTTTCTTACAGAGCAACTGATGGCATTGGAGCTGCTGAGCTAGACTGGATGTGTGGGGCAGTGACGCAGCAATGGCAATCCTGAGTCTATCATTGTATAATTTAGTAAAAGAAAAAGATCGTTGGCGGTGATCCTCCTGAAGAAATGCAGCTTTGAGTTGGCACTGAGGAAGGTGTTTGCCCTACACTGTCCAGGGTTTGTGAAACCCTTGCATTCTGGTACAAGAGTTGGGGGTATAACTTTTATACTTGAATCTACTTATCAAGTTTACATTTCTCAATTTCTTTTTGTAAGGTGCTATTTCTGTGTTTAAAAAACTTTTTCCCCCCAGTGTAAAGCTGCTTTCTGCTTTTCTTATTGCACTGTTAGTTTTAAACTATGTAGGTATTAATTTTATTGCTGCTTACCACTTTTGTTTTCATATTTAGTTCTCTTTTTTCTAATGGCTTTATTATCTGTAGCTATCTACCTGTAACTTTGTTACATGTAAACTGATTTTTTTTAGGAAAATATTAAGCTTTATAAAATAACAATAAAAATTAATTCATTAAATAAGAGCTGTCGTGTTTATCGGTAGATTTTTGTGTGTGCTATTTTCAGGATAACCATAAACAGCTGACACATAGTCAACACTCAACAGACCCTCATAAACCCAAGTCAGAACTTTTTGCTGAGACTTTCCAGTGGTTCTCAAACACCAAAACTTAAGGCGTCAGAATGACATGGGAGCTTAGAAGGGTTGAGGGACTATGCTATTGAGTTTTTGAATTTTGTCTGTGTCAGGATCTCTAGAGGTTTGGAGATTCCAGATGATTCTGATGCTTATCCAATTTAAGACTTACAGGTGAATGAAGACCACCTCCCCATCTTCTCATGATATCTGCAAGGTTAAGTGCTTCTCAGTCTAGCAAATGCCCACCTTTAGTTCAAAGCCAAATTTTATTGTTACCCCCTCACTTTTAAATGAACCTCTGAGCAGATTCAATTGGATTTCTGCTAGTTCATTTTATCTCCAGAGTCAATTATGTTGCACTGTTTATCAGTCTCCCCTGCTAAATTGTGAGGTGCTAGGGAAAACAGCTTTGAAACCCCAATATCAAGCACAGTGCTTATTACCTAGTAGAAGCTCCCAAAATGGTGAACAGGGGAACTATAGGACTCCAAAATAGGGCTTCCTCCTTTGCCAGCATTCAGTTAGATTCAGCTTGTGCCTCCCTATTTTCCTGTGACCTCTTCCAACACATCGCTTCTTGCCCTAGTCTCTAGCTTCATAAGACATATAAAGTAACCCAGGATCCATTTGTTCTACACACACACCGGGATTAGGATTTTACTAGCAAATATTTAGTGGCATTACATTATAACGGGATCTTACTGTATTGCAGGCATTTGCCACTATCTTCTCACACGCCCTGTTTTGGTTGCCTTTAACAGTGTAAAGTGCACATTAAACAGGGACTTGATGTAATCATGAAAGCAACTTTGACTCATCTCCCAGTGTCCCTTTAAGCCTGGTCAATGAGAGTAGCCCACTCGCTCTCGTATGAGCATTAGGTTAGGTGCTGTGTGACTTATCTGGTTACTGTAATAGAAGTTCTATAGTCATTTTAAGTTACAAAGACAGTGTCAGTTACGTGGAATGAGTATTTAAAACTTCTGCAACTGGTCTCACTTAACAAGAGAAGAGGACATAGTCTTTTTCTATGCTGAGCACTCTCCTTCACAGGTTTGCCTAGATATCTTCCCCCGGCAAGGTCTAGGACTCACGGGCAGATTTAGAACAGCTCCAGTCAGGCTCTGCCATATCCCATATCAGTGCCCTTTGTCCTGATTCTTGGAGACGAGTCCCAGCCAATCTCACAGCCGCCTCTTCCTTCCTCCACTGCCAAAATGCTGGCCACCCACATCCCTTAGATCTCCCAGGCAAGTCAGACACCAGGACACACTTCCAACTTCAGGAGAGGTCAGAGGCAAGCAACACCCCCTCACCTCCCCCTAGCGACTCTGAGGAGACAGATCAGGAACCACAGCATAACTTCAAAGAAATCTACAAAATCCATTTTTCCATTTGCTCAAACCTTTCAAAGCCTTGAGGGTGAAGGGATTCAATAGTTGTGCTAATAGCTTTGCAAAACTCCCTTTATTAATTTTTGGAATGCAGCATTTACTATAATTTGGTGCTACAGCCAAGCTCGCTAACATCCTATCAAAATAATTATAAACTTCCATTGTCCAAGATTTGCATTTTTCTAGATGATTGTTATAGTACTTAATATCTCATCCTTATAAAAGTAAAGTTTTTGATTGTTCACAAAGACACATTAAAAATTAGGTACCGAATACAAAAGGAATTTGTTCTTAGATTTCTATTGCTAAGTTTGGTCACAGAGCAGAAATTAAGTTTTGATGGCTATTAATTTGGTTTTAGTGTTAAGAGAAGTTTGACAATGTTCTTTCTGATCTGAAAATGCTTCTGAAATTAAGAAATTATACCTAAAACTAAAATAGTTTTTTTTTATTCTCTTATATCTAAATCCTCTTTTGGAAATAGCCCAATGGTAGTCCTCAATTTGATTGGCTCTTCTATACCAGCATCCAGTCTTTCCCCAACTGCATCCTGAAAAACTCAGCTGTTAATAGATATTAAGAGTCAAATAGAAGTAGGTAATCCTGGTATAACAAAATTAATTTTGTTTTAATACAGGATTTATTAGAGACATAAATTTGCAAAAGAAAATATATATACCCAAAAGTTTTTAACTGGTTTGACAGTGGGACCATTTTTTTTTTTTTATTAGAGCATCTTACAAGACTAGGGTTTAGCAGAAGGTACTTTCAGAAGCAATGAATTAATTCACCAAACTACCCTCTGAAAATTTTAGTCTTCACCGAAAAAAGATCAATATTAACTTCTTACGATCAGAGACCATGACGATTTATATCTGTATCACAATACCTGCCACAAAATGTGTACACAATAAAAAAGTGGGGAAAATATTGCATGAATGAGTTACTACAAATAATTTTTAAAAACCTTAGAGTGCTTTTTTCATTGTATGGTTCTAGGTGCATAATAGTCATTTAATAAATAATTGTGATAGAGTTTTTTGTTTTTGTTTTTTTTAGTTTAGAAGAATGGCCTCCACAGTGTTACCAATGCTTATAAAACAAATTTCATTGTAACAATCCTACTTTTAAACTTTCAGTGGCATCCCATGCAGCATTTTCCTAACTCTGTAGCATGCCTTTCTAGTCTCTTCACAATCTGGTTCCCAGTTGCCTTCCCAGCTATGTTAGATATTGTCCACAGAACTTCAGCAGTTATTTCCATTCTTCTTTTAAATTCCTTTTATCACAGGGCCTGGAAACCTGGGAACTACATTTCCCAGATCTTCTTGCTACCAGGATCTAGACGTGATTCTGTCAGTAAGATATGCTCATGCAGCATTTGGTAGAGAAAAAGGAAACTGAGACTTTCTTCCTCTTACACTAGGAGCAAGCCATGCACAGATTGTAGCAGACTGTGTTTTTGCAGCAGCCATACTTTATGTTGCTGTCTAGTCTAAGACTATATACCAGCTGTGACGTTGGCAACTGTTTTACACTGTTCCCGACCATCAGGAAGAAACAGCACCCTGCCAACCTTTGGGTAGCAGCCGTAGTGGCATGATCTAAATACTTCACAACAGTCCCCTGACTTCCACTTCCCCTCCCTTCCAGCAATTTTATAAGCACCTTATTCCCTATATTAAAACCTTCCTGCTAGAAATACCTAATATTTTCTAATTTCTACACAATCCAGAGTCTTATCTCTACTCTTTCCTTATTCTCCTCCCCCCATCATCTGTCAATTATTCC